GTTTGTTACCTTGATGTGAGCCAAAATGAGTAGTACCCACTGGATGGTTTGAGATTTCATCTCCTTTAAACTTGGGTGAATTCCACTGGGCTCAGGGATATGGGCATTCACAAGGAAAAATAACCTTGGTATTATAAATTCCAGTATTGTCATTATCAGGTTTAGTTAAAATGGAAGCTGTGTAAGATCTTCCATACTTTTCGTAACTATTCAGGATCCACAGGGTAAAGAACATCATTGGAATTTAGAGATGCTTTAACTAAAATACATGTGTTCCATCAACTACACAAAATGTGCTTCTGGGAAAACAGAGAATCCTGATTATACAATGTGGTAATGGAAAAAGATTGCAGAGCCTGTGTGGGCTGCTGGTAAGGTGCTAAGCTTTGAATAAAATGGCATTTTATCATCTTTGAGAAGCAATCAGAAGTGAGGAACAAAGACTTAAAAGTAAATTTAAATCAAATTCCCATATTTCTGTAATTTAAACAACTTGTTTTGCTTTCTCATTCTTAAAATTAATCGTCTTCAGATTTGACAAACCATCTGTCCTGTTCCGTGTCAGAAAGATCATTCAAGAGCTCCTGGGATAAGTTGCAAGAATTTTGATTTTAGCTAGGGCATCATACATCATGTCTGATGGCATTTGAAATATTTGTTGATAATTCATGCAGAATTCTCAAGGGAAGCTCTGAGCATCTGGGGTAGGGTCCAAATCTTAAATTTTCCTTTATTTGTGGAATTACTTGACAAATTTTGGTGTATACTCTCATACTTTCAGATGATATCCATAAAGTAAAACATACTTTTATCTAGGGATTGACATAAAAATATTTCTCCAAATTGCTTTTATTAATCTACCTGCCTTTCATTCATATTATATCACATTGGTTTTCTGTGGCTGCTGTAACAATTGATCACAGAAGCACTGTATTTAAAACATGCAGAAGTCTATCCTCTTACAGTTTTGGAGAGTGGAACAGTGAGATTCCTGTGGAGGCAGAGCTGCACTCCCTCTGGGAGGTCAAAGGAGAATCTGTTCCTAGCCTTTTCCAGCTTTCTGGTTGCTGGGGAACCTTGGCTAATACTGTGTCACTCCACCCTCCTCATGCCTTTTCTCTTGCCTTCCCTTCTGCTTCTTTAAATTGCCCTCAGCCTTCTTCTTGTAAAGATACTTGTGATTACATTTAGAGCCCACCCACAGACTTTTTTTCATCATAAACTCTTTAAATTTGATCTAAAGATTTTTTTGCCATATAAGGAAATATTCAGAGGTTTTAAGATTTAGGAGACAGTTATCTTTGGGGGATATGTTATTCAGCCTCCACAGCAGGCGTCGCCTCACTGTGTGGATTCATGTGGATGGGGCTTGGGATACTGTTTTTCTGTTTTATCTCAGCTGTTAATTCAAGGGGAAGCAGACAACCTGCCAGGACGTTGTTAATCCCGAAATTCTCTCTAGCTATGTGAAGGGTTAACACGCGCACGCGCGCACACACCACACACACGCACACACACACAGGTACCTGTGAGTGGGTGAGGGAGGGGAACAGGCAGGCAGGCAGAGATGGAGAGACAGAGGGAGATGGGAGATAGAAAGACAGGATAGTTCAAAGATCAGTGACGCTGAGTGCCTTCCTCAGGCACTCTATCTTGTTCACTGATTCAGCTGCAGAGAATAACAGGAATGTGCCTGCCTTCATTTCTCAGTTACTGGAGTTGATACATGTTGCCGTACACAGCATTTATTTAAAGGTGTGTTCTAAGGATCATAACCAAAGTCCCCATGCTTACGCAGCAAGCACTCTCCTAACTGGGCCATCTTCCCCAGCTTATTTTCCTGAGCTGTAGCCTGAACCTCTAGTTTTAACCACTCACATAGCCAATACATTTGATTACAAGTGGATTGAGAGTACAGGGTCATTTTAGCAGGCTTGTCCCCACTGACAAAAGTACTTGAAGCATGTGTCCTAGCAACAGTGACTCTTCTGTGAAGCTTATCTTTTAAGAATAGAATCTTCCAGTACCCAGCACTATTTGAACCCATTTGAAAGAAGCATAAGTCTTTTTGCCTTTCCCCATAATCCTTAATTTAGGACAGGAACATATAAGGCTATAAAGTTTAGGATTAGGAGGAAAGCATGAAATTTGTTGAGAGTAAATGCAAATACAAAACTGGGGGGTTGGTGGGGGTGATACAGCTAGAAAGATCCTAGATTCAACCTACTACCAAAAGAATCCAAAATAAGAAGACGAGGAGGAAAGCTGTTTCAAAGTTACATGTATAAGACTTCTGCAGAATCTTGAGTAATGTTCTTTCATGTTAGAGTGCACCTTTGTGAGGTAATATCCTTCACTTTGAGCTCTGGAATTCCACTGTGGTGAGTCTCCCCTGTCCAAAAGGACAAGGCAATAGGAACCTTGACAGATGCCTCTTAGAAAAGCTGGCAGGAGGTTGAGGAGGAAGGTGAACAGCATCAGAGGTGGTGAATATCCAGCGGCATTAATCTGTCAGTGCTTAATTTTTTTTTCTGGTAGTGCTGAATGAGTCATAAACAGATTCAGAATATTGCTGAGCCCAGGAGAGTTTTGCTAGTCTAGTTACTAGACCTGGAGTGCCGTCTCATAAAAGACAACACCATTTCTCCTTAGGAATGCTGCATCCTAGAACCTCATTGTCTAGCAAATGGACAGCACACCAAAGACTAGGCAACTAAACCACAGTGAGAATATCCTCTTGGGCATTTACAGCTGGAGCTGGAAGAATCAACCCTTTGGTTTCTTACTTAAGAACTCAAAGGTGTGGATAGGCAGTCCTTAGAGAGGACAGATCTTATGGAAAATAAGAAAAATAAACACTGCAGATGTTTGCCATAGAAAGAGGAAGGAAAGAAAGAAAAGATAAAGGAATTTTAGTTCCTACATCTCTGAGGCTAGTTTTTTTTCATCTTCTTATAATTTGCCTACAAAAACTCACCCTTGCCTTTAAAATGTAGTCTGACATTTGACGCTAACAGAACTCTTGAGTTAGGGAAGTGACGTAGCTCAGGTGATCAAGTGCCTGCTACCATGCACAATGCCCTGAGTTCAGTCCAGAGTATCACATTAAATGGGGAGGTGGATGATGCCGGCTTCATGTTCTCTGCACACAGGAAATTAGACAAGAAATAGAGAAAGTCAAGATTGTTCTCAGGCAGTGAGTTGGAGGTCAGCTTGAGCTATATGAAACGTGCATTAAATGAGCAAAAATAAGTCACAGTTCTTACATGGCATGTCCGTGTGGGACCCTCAAAGTGGGATTGGCAGAAAGCTACCTGGTATGTTTCTTTATATGCTATAGGAAGATAATGCAGGAAGGAGTTTGTTAGTGTAGATTGGGTATCCCTCATCTGAAATGCTGGGGTCCAAAATCGTTTCAGACGTTTTTGTGTCTTGGAATATTTGCATATACAATATTCAATGTTTGCAAATCTTACATATTATCTTGGGAAGGAACTCAAATCTGAGTAGGAAATTTGTTTCAGGTACACATTACACACACTGCCTGAAGGCAAGCTTACATAGTACTGATAAAACGTTTTGTTCATTTCTTTTTTTAAACTTTTTTGAGACAAAGTCTCACGGATTAGCTCAGACTGCCATTGAAATTGTCATTACTCCAGGCTTACCTTAAACTTCATCGCTCTACTTCAGCCTCCTTTGTGCTAGGCTTACATGTGTGCACTACCTCACCTGGTCTAAAACAAAATTCCATGGCATGGGTTTTCCATCTGTGGCATTGTGTTAGGGTGTTAAAAGCTTCACATTTGGAGCTTTGTGGGCTCATAATTTTGGTTTTGTCTGTTTTTCATTTTGTTTTTGTTTTTGATTAGATAGTGCTGTTAGGTACTTTTCTTGTCACATTGATGGATTCTATAGCTTCAGTGGACTTCTGCGAAGTTTGGAAGCGCTTTGATAGGAAGAGAATTTGTTATGGGAGCATAGTCCATTTGCTGACATGTACACACTCAGTCAACCTTCTGAAGCCTGCCTTTCCTCATCTGACAAGTAGTTGAGTGGTTTCTGACACCCCCACACCACCTTTTTCTGTTTCGGAGTACATAGCCATGGCTGAGCATTCAAGCACGAACTGAGACCTTATTGGGGAAAAGTTCCAGCACCATAAGTTTTATTATTTTTTTTCTGTATTATTTTCTGCCATGGTTTTGTATATTAGAAATATATTTGTCTTTTATTTATTTTGTCTTATTCTAAAGTAAAGTGTTTTCCTGGGTAGGTGATATAGATGAGCAAATTGTTCACAAGGAATTTGTATGGTATACTGGTTCTCAGAGGGTCAGGGAAGCTGTCTTAGCTAATATGATTATGTCTCTGTTTCAACTAAGCCTTTAGGAAGTTTTCTGTCTCTTTTATCATATAATACATATATATTAAGGTAGCACTCATTGAACTGTAGAGAGAATTGACTTTAGAATAAAAAGACAAACATGAAACAGAGAGTCAGTTACAGTAGAAACTGACACAGTTTCAGGATCCATTTCCATATCTGGCTTAAGGCCCTCTTCCATGTGTCTCTTCAGGAAGCATAGCCCAGGTACATTTCTTCCTCTATTGACAATTATGTCTGCCCTTACATCCTGATTAATGAATCTGTTAGCCCATGTTCTGAAATAGAAAGCTCTGCTTAAGTTCAATCATAGTCTAATTCCACTGAGCAAAATAGACTGTACAGTGTGTTGTTTATAAAAGACTGTTTTTACTTAGTGCATGTTCTTTGTTCCCTAAAATGCTCACTTGCCTCCTGTGTGAATTCTTCAGCTTCTAGAGTCATGCAGCCTGACCTGAAGCCCTCAGGCCACCCAGTTAATAAAGTCTGTGACTGTACAGGCCGGAGGAAGTTGCTCAAACATTTACGAAGCCTTTGACTTTGCTCCTCTATTCAATTCAGCATACAGAACAGAATAAAAAGAATAATTTGATCTTATTTCCTCTGTTTACAGGCTCTGTACAACTCAATCAAGAACGAGAAGCTTGAATGGGCAGTGTGAGTATGCTAGATATGAGATTTTTAATGATGGGGTTTTCTCTCGCCATTTTTCTCTGTGCCTTGGAGGTGATTTTAGAGAGTTCAATATGCATAAGCAGTTCTTATTTCATGTCAGTTGTCTTACCTGCTTTGTGTGAAACCCCAGTCAACCCTGAGAAATCTTGTTTTTTTGTGGTGGGGAAAGGGTTACTCAGCATTCTGCTTCTGCTCAGGTTGCTAGTTCCATAAGGAATTAATCACCCTATAATGAATCCAATGAAAATGGCATCTTGGGAAAAAAAACAAAAAACAAAAAAAACCTGTTGCCAAAATTGTGTTTATTCCAAAACCTAACTTAGGTGGTATGTGTAGCACCTGCTCATTTGAATACCTCTTTTCATTATCATAGATGAAGGTTTCTCATGACACCAGTCATCCTGTGGTGAGTCCATATTAATGAAAAGAGAGATAAGGTTCTATACTTAGATAAGCTTGAGAAATAATGCACTAAGTTAAAACAGCCAATTGCTTTAAACTTAATGTTTTATAGTATATTCAGTGCTATTACATATTGAGTCTCTAATACAAACATAATTCCTTGAATCTGCTTAACAGCAAAATATACTGTTTGAAGGTATATGCTTTAGGAAATGCTGTTTAGATAAACTCAACTTTATATAAGACAACAATACTTTATTAAGTTTTCATTAATACACAATTAAAGTTTAAAAAAAGAGAATACTAAGTTTGCTGGTGAGATGGGTTAGCTGGTTAGTGCACTATCAGCAAGGCTGATAATCTGAGTTTGGTCCCAGGACCCACATGGTGAGAGAGAACCAACTTCTACTAGTTGTCCTCTGAGCTCCACATGCACCGTAACAGGCTGGTGCCCATGCACCTTACCCCAGGGTGGTGTCTCCTCACACATACTCAGTTCTCAAAGTTGATACCACTTGAATTACTCCACTGATTTCCAGGCCATACATTATTAGTCTAAGAGAAAGAGTCTGTTTAGGAGTTTAGTATTTGCAAGTGGAATGAATCGCTTATATGTCTACGTTTGTATATGATGACGCTCATTTAAAAGCTACATATCACTTCAAGAATTACTTTATAACATTCTTAACAATCATGGCTAAGAGCACCCTTGTTCTTTCAGAAAACCAATTGCAGTTCCCAGCACGGACATGATAGTTCACAAATATAGCTCTAGTTCCAGCAGATTCTATACCCTCTTCTGAACTCCAAAGGCACCAGACCAACTTAGAAACTCAGATTGCATGATCCAATCAGAGTATGAGTTTTCTTCTTCTGTAGACTAAGTTAATATCAGCGATTGTGTCTCAGGTGACTTTTGGGAGGACCCAGGAGTACTCTGTAGCACTAATCATAAAACAAATTATCTTTCAGTTGACACCTGAATGTGTAGATGACAAAGCTCAGGTTCTAGTTTTTTCTCTCCCTCTCATTCCTCTATTTTTAATTCATAATCCATGTGCTTGTGTATGTACTGCTAGTTTGTGTTTTACAAAGAATAAAAGTAAGGTACTGTGGCCATTGTTTTATGTTTTAATCTTCTTCTATAAACCAAAGAAGTTGGATAGGCTCATCATAGGTATCTTTCCAGATCCAGCATCCTGTTTGTGAATTTTGTCACCAGCAGTGTCTCCTGGGCCAATCTCCTGAGTAAAGAACAGTACGGTGTTGTATAGAGTGGATATAAAACAGAGAGGGGGAAATAATGGGCATGGATAAAGCCGTGTGGAAAAAGACTAGGTGTCTGCTCTAGTTCACTTTCTCTTGCTATGATCAAACCCCACAAGCAAACTCAGTTTGAGCTGGAAGGCTTTGTTTCAGTTTATGGTTCATAGCTCTGCTAAACATCAGCTGAAACTGTCTGTAGAGCAAACTTCAGAAAACAATTCTGTGCCTCAGCTTTATGGTCATCCAGGCCACACAGTGTGGTCCCTTAACAAATGTGTTATCCCACATGTGTGGCTGCACACCGGTGCCCTGCCAGCTCTCCCTGTTCTTCCTAAGCTCGACACTGCAGATTGTCTTGTAAGAGCATCGTTATCATTCATTTCCTAACTTTATCTGCCATTTCTATACAAACTTCTCCTCAATCTACCTGCAGCTTTGTCTGCTCTTGTAAATTTCACTTACCTTTACATTGTTCAGCAGGAATGCGGGTCAGCACTTGATGCAGCATCTCTATCCAGCCTTTGCAATACACTCATTATTGTTGTGGACACTAGAAATTTCCTGCTTGCCTGGGCTTTGGCCTCTGCATCACCTTTGACTCCAGCCACAACTTCTGTACACTTGGCCTTGAGCGATATCCTTTTCCAGCCATGCTGCTGCCATTCCATACTTCCTGAAGCACACATCCTGTGTGCCTCACCAAGTGTGTGTGTGTGTGTGCATGCATGCGAGTGTGTGTGCGTGTGTGTCTGTGCCAGTCTCTTGCTTCTTTCTTTTTTATTAACCTAATTGATGCATTTTATGCTGTGAAACCTTAAGTATGCCCTCCACATCCTGTCTGTCACGTATGTATTACACACTTTAGTCACATACTCCTCCTTTCAACTCAACACAGCTACTAGTGCATGTCCCGTGGTTTTCTGACCTTCTATCTGTTCTCTGCTTGCAGTCTTGCCCCAAATCCATTACAGGTCAGCTTATATGACAGCCTGACCTTGGCAATCAAAACATATATACATTTTACATTGTCTAATAGCACTGTTAGTTCATACTTTCCATTACAGCTATTTGCCATGAAGTTTCATTAGACTCCAGGTTCCTTGAGGAAATGATACATGTCTGATTTCTCCATGTAGCCCCTCCTTTCCTTACTGTGATACCTACTTGTAGTGAAGATTCCATAGAAGGCTATAGGAAAGATTGGTTATGTAGATCAGTGGGAGAGCATGTGCTTGTCATGTTCAAAACATCAGGATCGAAACCTAATACCAGGAGGAGGACATGAGAAGGGGAAAACCAAAAGCAATGCTATAGTAAGAATTAGAATGACAAGTAACTGCATTCTTGAAAGATGCTCCTGCATATGTATAGTTCAGAACATAACTATGGAAAAGATGCTGCTTTCGCAGAATTTATAAGATAATGTATACTTGAATGGGAATTTTATTGTTGATTTTAGAGCCTTAGAGGAAGCAGATATGTAGAATTATGGATCACTGTAATAACTAAAAGAATATCTGCTGTTTAATATGTCTTTTCTCTAACCATGTTTTATGGAGCCCTGGAATTCCAAGGAGGGATCTGAGGGACCACTCTCCCTGGGATTCTGAGTGAGGGAAAATGAAAATGAGAATCAAGTAGCAAAAAAGCACATCCATTCTTAGTTTTTTAAATGTGATTAAAGTTTCACTAAATATTTTTCTGCTTTTTTAGGTGTGCTTACAAAGTTTGGGGGAGTGTGTTGCTCTAACATAGACCCTTCTCTCTCTATGTAAAGAAAACTAAAATCCAGACACATTCATTTATAGGTTCAAAAACATTGAAAGGGTCAAAGGGTCTGTTTCCTGTGGTGTCATGCCTGTCTTCTCTATCAGTACATAGTCTTACCATGCCTTTGGGGAACAGAAATCTTGTCTTAATGTTTTCGTGTTAGTCTTGGCTATGATGCAAGTTAACAGAGATTTGTATCAGTGTGGGAATCCTGTCAGAAGCTCATAGAGTTACTAGTATTACTAGGCAGCTAGATAGTGAGGACTATCCATTCATCTGTTCCATTTTTTAAGTTCTTCTTCTGCCTGGCTAAGTGTAGAGTACAAGATACAGATGTGACTACAGTGCACCTCTGTTCATAATAAGAACTAAGTGTGAAAGGAGGAGAAGTGCCCACAGGAATGGACGAATGAATATAAAAGTCATAGTTAAGTAGGCAGAGTTGTCTGCCTCCTGGAAGAGCTCTGCCACCCCTGAAAGCAAACCGCCGTTTCTCTGTGTGTACTGCTTTACTCAGTTGCTCATTATTCATTAACACGCCTACTTGTTGAGTGCTCTGTCCTGTGTAGTATGCTGCAAGTTCTGAAAGAACAAACATGTGTATACCACTGAGGCATTCCTTAGCTTTAAGGCAGTTCATAGTTCAAGTGTACAAAAATCAGAGGAGAGAGAAGATAAATAGGATAGATAGATAGGATGGCATTTATAACTATTCTAGCCTTCTTTAAAATAGAGCCACATGAAGATCTTCAGGGAATGCAGCTAACAATGTGGTAAAGTAAAACAGTACAGTCACTCAGGAGACAAACCAGTGAATTCAATGCTCTCACCTCTGTGACTGTTGTTATAACTATGTGGCATCCATATTTAGGAATTACTGTCTTCCTGAGAATGTATGTACCTAGTGTCACTTTATGACATCACACTGGAGCCCATCTTCATACTGAACTTTTGTGTTATCTCATTCCTACTTCTGTTTGCAGTACTTTGCTCTTGTTTCTCATTCTAACCTGACTTCATGTTTTATAACTGTGTCATGGGGTGATCTTTGCTACTTCATATTACCTACCAACTCATTTAGGATGAGACCATTTAAAAACCTTTGTTATCGTTCCTTCTAAATGAAACTGTTTCTTGTCTGCCTTAATTATTCTTGCTTGTCATGTGGTATAGTAACACACTGGACTCTTCTTTTCCCTCTTCGTGTCTTAGACTAGCCCTGCCCTCTTGAAAGCATGGTTGCAAAGAGCCACGAGGAGACTTCCACTTCCTTCTTGTGAACTTTAATTGTAGGCGTTCTTTCTTGGTACCATTGTTGCTAAGAGACTGATTTGCTGATATCACAATGTGCAAAAAACTACTAAGTCTTTGCTTCTATGCTGATGTGTCTACTATGTGTGTATATATGTTTATGTGTATATGTGTGTGTGTGTGGTGTGAATGTATATGTGTGCAGTGTGTGTATGACAGTGTATGTGTGTGTGGTGTGAGTTTACAAATGTGTATGTAGTATGAGTGTGCATGACGTGTATGTGTATGGTATG